TCTTACGTACACACCTACACGCAGGGCAGCCCCAGTTAGGGGAAGGGGCCTGCAAGAGAAATAGAAAGGCCAATAGTAAGAGCTTATCAAGTCTAGAAAGAAAGAAGCTGGACAGGAGGACTAACAAAGAGGGAGAACAAGGATTAATTAATGGGGGAGAAGCAGTTGGTTTGTATGAATGGAAATAGAACAATGAAATTGCTTTAAGAAGGGGGAATGTGGGATAAGAGGATGATTGAGGTTGATCAGGATATATTGTAGAAATGTTACAATGAAACCACCCTTTGATCTAGATACATTGTATCTAGGATATAGGAAGCTACTCAGGAGGCTGAGCTCTGAGGATCTGGGTTTGAAGCCAACCAGAGCAGAGTTGGGCAAAAAAGTCCCTTCAAGACTTAAAGATCTCCAATTAACCATTCAAAAACCAGAAGTGGTGCTGTGGCTCAAGTGGTAGAGTGCTATCCTTGAGCACAAAGAGGCTCAAGGACAGTGCCCAGGCCCTGAGTTCAAGCCCCAGGACTGGCAAAGAAAAAAAAAAAAAGACACCTTCCTGGTGGGTCCAGATTGGGGATTGGGGCCTGGCTGGCCATGAGGTATAAGCAGTTAAGGAATGAAGTTGGTAAATGTAACTAACTTGAAACCACTGCTATCTTTTTCCTGACTCCAAGCTGGTTTGCAGTTGTTGGTTTGTTTTGGTTGGGACTTTGGGTTTTCTGTTTTTGTTTTGGGGAAGTTGGACTTTAAAAAAAAAATTGAACTATAGTGTTTGAACACAGGACCTCAGGCTTGCTAGGCAGGTGCTCTACCACATGAGCCACGTCCTCAGTCCTCTAGGTTCAGTTTTCTTTTTCTTTTTTTGGGGGGGGGGTCTGGTCGTGGGGCCTGAACTCTGGGCCTGGGTGCTGTCCCTCAGCTCTTCAGCTCAAGGCTAGCGCTCTACCACTTCAGCCACAGCACCACTTCTGGCTTTTTTTTTTTTGCTTATGTGGTGCTGAGGAATCGAACCCAGGGCCTCAGGCATGCAAGGCAAGCGCTCTACCACTGAGCCACCTTCCCAGCCCCAGGTTCAGTTTTCTAGCTTAGAGTTTCCAGTGGGTACCTGAGGAAAAGACATAGACTAAGGGAAGCTGAAGGGTTAGGCTTGCTTGGATCTGTTAAATGAATAGGAGGCAAAATCTGAAACCTACTGAGTAGTTTTGTGCCAGCTATGTGATGGACACTGAGGGTAACACAGAGTACCAACCACCTGGCAGGGATCCTCATACCTACAGATAAACACTAACCCTGGAGCCTTCCTGGAGGAGGCAGTATGGCTTCAAGTGATGTATGGCGAAAGTAGTAGGATATGTACCCAGAGTCGGGGACTTCTAGGTGACCAAGACAACAGGAGAGAAGACCATCAGCAAGGGCCAGTCACTGGGGATCCTTATCGTAATCCTAGCTACTTGGGAGGCTGAGATATGAAGATCACGGTTCAAAGCCAGCCTTGGCAGAATAGTCCATGGGACTCTTAACTCCAATTAATTGCCAAAAAAGCCAGAAGTAGAGGTATGGCTCAAGTGATAGAGCACCCACCTTGAGCAGAAGAGCTAGGACTCAGGCCTTGAATTCAGTCCTAGCACTGGCACTAAATAAATAAATGCATACTACCAAGCTTCTGACCCTTGAAATAACTAAGTTGCATGAAGTACTTAGATTCATTTATTTAATGAGTATTTATGAGGGCCTCCTATTTGCCCAACATTGTTTGAGGGACTGAGGTTCCAGCAGTAAATCATAGACAAGGTCTGTGACAGGAGTAGGAGAATGAATATAAGCCACAAATACGTAAAGGAAATGGAGAAAGAGCAAGGGAAGGGGTGACATTGTCCAAAAAGAAATGTACTCATTGCCGAACATGTAACTGTAACCCCTCTGTTATAGCACCTTTATAATAACAATTTTTAGAAAGGAGAAAATAAATATGTATACAACTGAAATAGTTTCACATGATAACCAACGCTGTGAAAGTATAAACGGGATAATGTAACAAGGTAACTAGAGTAGGTAGAGTGCAGTGTTGCTTTTGTTTTTATAAATTGCCTCTGAGTTACTATTGAACTTAGACCTGAAGAATGAGGAATTGCTAATCATGCCAAGAGAAAAATGCTTTAAAGAGCATGAAACGACTAGTGCAAAGGCCCTGAGACAGGAAAAGTTTGCTACTGGGGAGGTTGCAGTAGACAGAGGGAAGACAGAGGTATAGGAACTACAGATTCACAAGTCTTGGGCAGAATCTAATTTCAATTTCCAAGGGCTATAAAAAACCACTGGAGTGGGGCTGTGAATGTGGTTTAGTGGTAGAGTGCTTGCCTAGCATGCATGAAGCCCTGGGTTCAATTCCTCAGTACCACATAAACAGAAAAAGCCAGAAATGGAGCTGTGGCTCAAGTGGTAGAGTGCTAGCCTCAGGGACAGAGCTCAGATCCTGAGTTCAAGCCCCAGGACTGGCAAAAACACAAAAAACAACAACAACAAAAAAAAACATTGGAGGTTTCAAATCAATGTATTGATTTATACAGTAACTGCTCAATAAAGGCTTACTGCTATCATTATGAATGTGATCAAGGGGAATAGCAATTTGTCTAAGAAGAGTCGTCCTCATCCCAAGGCCTTCCTCTTCCTCTAAAGAGCCCTGTGGCTCAGTCCCTAGTTGGTGGGAAGGAGGGAGGCTTCTCTTCCCTCCTTTCTGCTGCTTCCCTCCGGCCATTTCCTGTGCTCCTGGCGCCTGCGCCCCAATTAGCCAGCGAGTCTGGCCTTGGCTCCAAATGACAGACACCTCCTGTCACCCCCTGATGGGCCAGGAGATTAACTCGGAGCTTTGCTGGCTGGAAGGGTGGACAGGGAGGGGAGAACTGGAGGGGGGGAGGGGAATGACTGGACCTTTCCCCCCCCCACCTCAAAAGGGGGACAGAGGGAGGCACTGCCCTGCCCGCAGGGATCCCCGTCAGGCTAAGGGAAGGCTACCCCATTCTCCTGACTGGCTACCCCAACCTCCACCTTCAGCTTGTCTGAAGTCAAGGATCTTGGCTTAAGACACTTCACTGCTGAGCTTTCTGCTATGGGTACAGGGTGGGTACCCACTAATTATCTATGGGCTATGTTAAGTACTTTTCATGTAGCCTTACCTCTCCTGAACATCTCCTCTTTTACAGAATCCTTAGTTTTAGTTCTGGCTGCTGTCTGTTTGAGACAGGGGTCCCCCTATATTGCCCAGACTGGCCTTGCCTCCTGTGTTTGAGGGTCCAGAGTGACCTGGGCTACATGGTCAGCTCCTTTCTTAAAATAAAAATAAAATAAATTTTAAAAAAAGCTAAAAAGCTCACATCTGTAAGCATAGCTACTTAAGAGGCTGAAATCTGAGGATCACAACTCAAAGCCAGCCCGGGCACAAAAGCCCATGAGACTTTTTTTTTTCTTTTTGGCCGTGGTGGTGTTTGAACTTAGGGCCTGGGTGCTATCTCTGAGCTCTTTGTGCTCAAGGCTAGTGCTCTACCACTTTGAGCCACAGCTTGACTTCCAGCATTTTTTTCTAGTGGTTAATTGGAGACAAGAGTCTCAGGGACTTTCCTGCCCAGGCTTGCTTTGAACCACGATCCGCAGATGTCAGCCTCCTGAGAACCAGGATTACAGGCCTGAGCCACCAGTGCCTAGTCCATGAGACTCTTATGCACAATTAATTACCAAAATTGCCAGAGTGGACCTGTGGCTCAAGTGGAAGAGTACTAGCTTTGAGCAAAAAAGCTCAAAGACAATACCCAGGCCCTGAGTTCAAGTCCCAGGACCATTAAATAAATAAATAACAGGACACCTGGACTTCTGGGGTCAAAGAATCTCCTATCTTACCTCTTGAGTAACTGAGTCTATAGGCCCACTTCATATAATTTTATTTACTTATTTGAGGAACTAGGGTTTGGCCTCAAAGCTTCATGCTTGCTAGGGAAAAGTCATACCACTTAAGCCAAGTCCCCAGACCTTTTTGCTTTATTCAGTTTTCAAATAGGGTATCAAGATTTTGTCCTAGTCAGGATCCCATTTACACCTGCCAAGGAGTAGGGATGACAAATGCATGCTACCACACCCTGCTTTGGTTGATTATGAACTTTCTTTGCCTGGGCTGGCCTCAGACTGCTTTTCCTAATTGCATGTATGCAGTAGCTGGGGTGGGGGGTGTACACTGGTCCTGGGTCTTTTTTTTTTTTTGGGTCCGGTCGTGGGGCCTGAACTCTGAGCCTGGGCGCTGTCCCTCAGCTCTTCAGCTCAAGGCTAGCACTCTACCACTTGAGCCACAGCACCACTTCCGGCTTTTTTTCTTTTTGCTTATGTGGTGCTGGGGAACCGAACCCAGGGCCTCATGCATGCAAGGCAAACGCTCTACCCCTGAGCCACCTTCCCAGCCCTGGTCCTGGGTCTTGAATTCAGGCCCTGGGCACTGTCCCTGAGCTTTTGTGCTCAAAGCTAATGCTGTAGTTGAGCTCCAGCTCTACCACTTGAACTACAGATCTATCTCTAGCTTTTTACTGGATAATAGGAGATAGGAGTCTCGTGGATTTTCCTGACAACAATCTCAGATTTCAGCCTCCTGAATAGCTAGGATTATAGGCATGAACCACCAGCTCCTGGCTTCTTCTGACTAATTTTAGTCTCCTGAGTAGCTGAGGTAACAGGTGTGAACTACTACATCCACTGTAACAGTGTCATTATAAAGAACAAGACCTAAAATCTCAGCCCTCGGGAGGCTGAGACATGAAGATCATGGGTTTTAGACCAGCCTGGGCTATACAAGAAACAGCTACACATCTCCTCCATCTCTCTCTCTCTCCCCAGCCCCGTTTCTTTCATACATATATGTGTGTACATATGTGTATATGTGTGTGTGAATATATGAATATGAAACTGAGAGGGACTAGTGCAAAGACCTCATACAGATGGGCTAGTTTGAATATGGCTGCCCATACCTGCACCAAGCTTCTGACTGCTCTGCTGTAGCTCTTCTGACTTCAGGAGGAGACTGGGCTCTTGACGTTTAGGATCTTACAATCCACTTTGGGATAGACTATGGCATGTAAATCTGGACAGGGAAATGAACACAGAGCAGTGTAGCACAGCACTGAGCAAGCCAGGACATCAAGCAGGGATCAGCAGTCCCAGGTAACTCCCAAGAGTGCAGAGAGCAATGGCCTGGGCCTCTACACACAAGACTGGCTGGTCAGGAGAGGGCAAAAGGAGGCATTCCATTTCCAAGCAAAGGAATAGCATACGGACATAGGCTAAAGTCAGAAATAGGTGAAGCCTGAGCTATCCAGGAAGAATGTCAGGCTGCAAATGTGAGAAATGCAACACACACTGACTTATTCTGTCTTTTTTTTGGGGGGGGGGTCCAGTTGTGGGGCCTGAACTCTGGGCCTGGGCACTGTCCCTCAGCTCTTCAGCTCAAGGCTAGCGCTCTACCACTTGAGCCACAGCACCACTTCTAGCTTTTTTCTTTTTGCTTATGTGGTGCTGGGGAATCGAACCCAGGGTCTCATGAATACAAGGCAAGCGCTCTACCACTGAGCCACCTTCCCAGCCCTTATTCTGAGTCTTGACTACAAGAAAGTGCTTTGAATACAAGGAGATCAGTTTCTCAGGTTTTTTGGTGTTTTTTGTTTTTGGTTTTGTTTCTTTCTGAGGTGGAGATGCTGAGGATGAAACCTGAGGCCTTATACATGCTAAGCAAGCATTCCACCACTGAGCTACATCTCCAGCTCGGATCAGTGTCCTTTGGTGGCTTCACAGGTAGCTTTGCTTAAAAGGTGGTAGCTCCAAAGTCTTCCAGCACTAGATCAGAACACCTCCATCAAAGCCTTGAGATTCATCTGATTGCCAAAGCCCAAATCACATCTCTATCTCTGAACCCATCACTGTAGTTACAAAGGAGCAGTCTGCTGATTGACCAGTTCTCCTCTCTCCCACCAACCAGGAATAAGAGGAATCTCCCTAGATCCCTAAGTCCGGGGATCAGATCCGGCTCAGGGGAAGTTCCTCTGAGCCTTGTTAATACCAGGAAGTCCCTGGCTTCTGGATCCTGGATGTAGCCATGGGCAACATGGGACTCCTACTTTCTCCTCACTTCTCACAGTTCCCATCTGGGCAAACAGATACCATCCACCAGACCAGCTCCAGCTCTGGCTGCACGAACTCCAGAAAGGCTCCAGATCCAGAATGAAGGGGTCTCTTCCAAGCTAGTCCCTGAGGACCTGCCTGATCTTTCCATGTCTAACCTTCAGCTTTTTCTCTAGTTTCTACCATCATCACACAAACTTTTTTTTTGTCAGTCATGGGCCTGAACTCTGGGCCTTGGTGCTGTCCCTCAGCTCTTCAGCTCAAGGCTAGTGCTCGACCACTTGAGCTACAGCACCACTTCCAGCTTTTTCTGCTTATGTGGTGCTGAGGAATTGAACCCAGGGCTTCACGCATGCAAGGCAAGCACTCTACCACTGAGCCACCTTCCCAGCCCCCATCGTCACAAACTTGATGATGCAAATTTACCTGATTCCTACAAACTTGCTGGCTCTGATTGAAGCCCCCAAACAGAAAAGGCCCAGGTGCCAGAAAGAAATGCCACAAGGAGAGGGTTCCAGCCCTCAGCCAGGAATAGGTATGGTTGTCAGTTGCAAGAAACAAGACAGCAGTCAGGCCCTCTCCCGGGTCAGGGTGGAAGCTGCCATAGCCCATGCAAAGTTAATGACCCTGGAGATAATGAACTTGGCTCACCAGGAATGAGGAGGCAGTGGCCTTTCCTCAGTCCTGCTCCCAGTTTGAAGCACAGACTCGGAAGACATGCTAACAGAGATTTGAACTCTTCATTAGGTGGACTTGGGCTTGCCCTCTCCAGCCTTGTTTTTCTCATCTGTAAAATGGAGAGATAGTTCAGAGATGGCCTGACCTCAAAGGGGAGTGACATTCCCATAATATAGTGCACACCAGGTGCTGGCCACACTCCTGGCATCTTCTATAAAGGGACAGCTTTTGCTGCTAATATTCTAGCTCTGTTGAGACTGGCCCTTAGCCTGAAGCTCAAGGCAGCCCTTTCTGGACCTCAGTTTCTCCATTTGTCCTTCCAGCCAGCTCTGCTCTTCCAGTGGGTGACTTGGATGATCTCATTGAGGGGAGGACCCCTCCCACATGGGTCAGTCCATGGGGGGTGGGGGTGGGAATGCAGCAGTGCCCAACCAACGTTTTCACCAGGCTGGGCAGGCAGCGCCAGGCAGGCGGGAGCTGGTCAGGTTTTTAATTGAACACGATGCAAATGAAATGTAAATACCATGCAAATAAGCTCTTGCCAGGAGGCGAAGGGCTGGGAGCAGAGGGAACAGGGAGGGGACTGCTGAGCAGGGTTCTCTTGGGGGGGGGATTCTCCTGTGGCTGTCCACCATCTACCCCCTGGTGTTGACCACCCAGCCTGGAAATTCCATTGGGGAAACAGAGGCACTTGATCCCCTACCTGACTCTCCTTGACTCACTTCCCTAACCCTGCAGCTCCTGGTGAGCAACAGTGGGGTGCTCAAGGAGAACAAGGGCCCCCCATGGATGGAGCGAAGCTGACAAGAGTCCTACAGACTCACACATAAACACAGAGGGACAAACAGAGGCACATTCTTTCTCAAGCCCTTTCAACACAAATCCACTCAGTAACAGCCAGTCATACAGAAATATGCCCAAGTGCGCATACAGACCTAAACACACCCAGTCACAAGCGCGTGCGTGCACACACACTCACACAGAGAGCTCTACCCTGTCCTCAGGACTGCAGACCCCCATGCTACAATTTGGAGGTCAGAGAGGGTGGGAGTTGAGGGATAGGACAGACACTCTGTGTGGGCACAGCCTGGTGGCCTGCACAAGGCTAGTCAGGCCACAGGGGGTAGAGGGATCTTCAGGGTGGCCTGGGCCCTTTGCCCAGCCCCCATCCCAAGACATGACCATAATCCATGGCTCCCAGCCACCGACTTTCCCAGGTGTTGGTCCATCCTCAGGTCCTCCCACTATTCCCAGCCAGCCCCTTGGGGGGTCATCCTGCCAAGGTGTAGGGGGTGAGGTGCAGGGGAGTGGGGAAAGGCTGAGCAGTCTGGACAGACCTCCCCCCACCCTCCACGTCTGAGGGTGGTCTCTTCCCCCTCGGAGGTGACTCACGCCCTACATTTAACTCTCATTAGCGCCTCGCCTCTGAGCCCAGCTGGAGGGACAACTGCCAGCCAACTTCCCCTAACAGTCAGGGAGCTCTGGGTGGGCCGCTCCAGCCTCAGTTTCCCCCCTAGGGGTCTGGCCCAGGGACAGGGGCTGCGTGGGAGAGCAGCTCTCCCAGTTCCCTCGGCTTTAAGGGAGGACTGTCCCCCACCCTACGGCAGGAGAGACAGGGGGTGGCCTGGTCCAGGAACCGCCCTCCCCGGCCACCACCACCACCCCCCCACCGGATGCCCTGCAGCCCCGACCAGGGCGCCGGGGTCGGGAAGGAGGGGGAGGCCGATGGCGTAGATCCTGGGCCGCCGAGGTTGCCGACGATCCCGCCGCCAGTGGGGTCAGGGCGTCTCCAACAATTCCAGTGCGAAAGCCGGGGCGGGGGTGGATGAAGTGGGGGCCCCCCCGAGAGGCAGCGACGTGGCCCAGGATCCATGGCCGTCCCGGAGCCTCCTTCCTTCCCCCACTTTCCAGTTGGGAATGCTGCCTTGTGTGTCGCTCCCCGAGTGCCGGGCACGGGGCTCAGCCCCGGCCACCCCACCCCTGGAGGCCCAGTTGCTCCCGCCCCCTCCCCTCCCTCCCTCCCTCCCTCCCCTCCGGCTCTGTGGGAAGCCGGCAGCTGGGGCGGGGGTGGCCGCGGGAGCGTCTTGCCCGTGTGATCGTGCCGAACGGGGAACTTGGGGCCATGTGGGAAAGACATTAGTGCCGGCCGCTCTGCCAGCCAGGAATGCGCCCCCCGCTCCGCAGCCGCCGCCTGCCTGGCCCAGAAACGGTGACTCACCCGCGCCGTGTCCCCACCCCCTCGCCGTGCGCCCTCCGCTGCCCACCGCAGGCCGGGCCCAGGCGCCCGGCCTCCCGGCCTTATCGCCGGCTGGCCCTGCTTTCTGCCTCGCCCATCCTCCACTCACCCCCCCCTCCCCCAGCGTCTTAGAATCCCCCCACATGGCACCTCTGGGGGGTCCTCAGACATGCAACTCCCCCTCCACAGAGGCCTGTCTGTCTTCTCGGGGGGCTAGCTCTGATTGGAACACTCCTTGGAAGCTTAGCTGGGGGGCGGAGGGGTCGGGTGGAATTCACCTGGGCGGTCCTCACCCCCCTCCGCTCCCCCAGTGCAGGATTTGGAGCACTGAGCAGGTGCAGGAGAAACAACAACAGTGGGTGATTAGGTACTGGTGGCTCAAGCCTGTAATCCTACCCAGCGACTCAGGAGGTTGAGATCTGAGGATAGTGGTTCAAAGCCAGCCTGGGCAGGAAAGTCCCGTGAAACTCCCATCTCCAACTAACCCCCAGAAAACCAGAAGTGACACTATGGCTCCAAGTGGTAGAGTGCTAGCCTTGAGCAAGAAACCTGGGATAGTGCCCAGGCCCTGAGTTCCAGCCTCATGATGGAGAAAAACAAAACAAAAACAAAAACATGGGTGAATGATCTACAGGCTGGAGCTCTGTTCCAAGTGCTGATTTTAAGGCCCTTCTCTGAATAATAAAATGTTACCTATGGCATAGGGCATATGGCCTCCAGGTTCCCTTCCCCCAGTTCCCTTCCCCCTAGCCTTACTGTCTTCATCCTGCAGAATAAGGTGACAGTCATCCTGAAGGATGGGGTGACAGTACCACTTCCTGTGCCAGGCCAGGCAGCCTCTGCAGAAATGAAGGCCTGTTGTCCTCTGCGTGGGGTCTGTTGCTGAAAGGGACTAAATACTGGTGATATCACTAATAATCATAGCTACTAAATGGACACCTACTATGTGCCAGACCAATGCTGGATACTTTCTAAACGGTATTTCACCGAATCCCCACCCAGTCCTAGGAAGAAGGATTGCTATCCTCCTTCTTACAGATGAAGAAACCCTGAGGTTAATAAGTAGAAGGTTCCCACTCAGAGACCTTAAAACCTACAACCTAGGCTCACACGCAAGGCTCTGAAGCCACTCCCCATCTCTCTACCTCTCTCTCTCCCACAGCCCACAAGGAAACATTCCTGAGGTCTGCCTTTCAAAGACCAAACTGGGCTCCCCTTGCCACCCCCACCCCATCCAAACCTGCAACCAAGCCCCTGCCCAAGGCTACCTCTCATAACTTTTAATAAGAGGTAATAGCACCAAGCAGCGGGCATCAGCTTCATTTTTAATTATCTAATTTACATTTAATTTTCCCCACCAACGTGATGTAGATTTTATTAATGTTTTACCTGAGAGCATCCATTCATGTGCAGAAAACATGTTTGAAAAACTAATGGGCATCGCTTCTCTTTGGAGGAGGCTCCTAACTTCAGAATAGGGCACCCAGATCCTGAAGCCTCAGACCCACAAATCAATCAACACAGTCGCCAGCACCTGAATAATTACTGAAGAAATGCCCCCAGAATTCGTTCAGTGCATGCCTCTTCCCCATCTCCAGAAATGATTGTTACTCTGCCAGATAGTTTTATGGATTTTTTAAAAACTTAATCCTGTGCCTACTCCTATAGGCAGGCACTAGTAAACACCTGTTTTTCAAATGGAAACTTTGAGACCCAGAAAGGTGAAGTGCCTTTCCTAGAGTCACACAGCAACCAAAGAGACAGCTAGCATTGTGAGTCTGATTCAGAGCCCATCCTGTCCTGCAAGATTGAACAGTGCTAGCCAGGCACTGGTGGCTCATGCCTGTAATCCTAGCTACTCAGGAGGCTGAGCTCTGAGGATCACGGTTCAAAGCCAACTCAGGCAGGAAAGGCTGTGAAACTCTTATCTCTAATTAACCGCCTTAAAACCAGAAGTGGGAGAACACTAGTCTTGAGCAAAAGTGCTCAAGGACAAAGCCCAAGCCCTGAGTTCAAGCCCCACAACCGACACATACACACACAAAACCTTATGCTGTTCCAGCAAATACCAGCTCCAAACTTTGGATATGAAGACAAATGTGGGGTAGGAGGCATGATTCAGGTGGTACAAAACCAGCCAGTGAGTGAAAATGTCAGATACTGAATCGAGTTCTAGACTCAGAACCCCCCCCCAAAAAAAACCACACACACACACACACACACAAATGTGTCTTGTGGTTTCAAGTGGGTTAGTGGGGGAAAGTATTGGAACCTAGGGACTAAGGTCTCACAGTTGTAGACCCCTTCAGAGTTTCTGGAGGTTTGAATTTTCAGGCTTCCTGCCCAGTGGTTGTTACTGCTAAAGTAGATTTCTCTGGTACTTCCAGGAGGGTCCCAGGAGTTGCATGGAGCTCCATCTCTCCTCCACTGGTCCCAAGAAAAAACAGGACTTCCTTCAAGTATTGATGATGAGCAGGTTTCCAGAAGGGAAAATAATATGAAATCTCAAGCCCTAAGTCAGTTGCTGGTGGCATACACCTATATCTTACCTGCTCAGGAGGCTGAGATCTGAAGACCAAGGTTCAAAGCCAGCTCAGGAATGGCAGGAGAGTCCATGAGACCATCTCCAATTAACCACTAAAAAACCATCAGTAGAGCTGTGGCTCAAGTGGTAGAATGCTAGATAGCCTTGAGCAAAATTGCTCAGGGATAGTGCCCTGGCCCTGAAGTCAAGCCCTACAACGAGCACAAGAAGGAGGGAGAGGAAGGAGGTGGGAAATCCTGATGGACAGAAAGTGTGGATGAGCCTCACATGGCCTGGCCATACTCTAGGTAGAGGACAATATGGATTCTTATATATATATATATATATATATATATATTTATTTATTTATTTATTATTGTCAGTTGTGGGGCTTGAACTCTGAGCCTGGGTGCTGGCCCCTCAGCTCTTCAGCTCAAGGCAAGTGCTCTACAACTTGAGTGGCAGTGCCACGTCT